CAATTTCTTACTCCCTATATTAAAACACACGAAATTCTCGCCTCCATTCAGGCAACCTATAACGCTGGCTGACCCCAGTGACGACAACTTTCCCACAGCACACATTTTTCTTCGTCGTCAAACACTGCTAACAAACTTCGTTTTGTCTTCACTGTGATAGCTTATCAATTCCACTTATTTATAACAACAACTCCACCAAATTGTACATTCATTGAAGCACTTTTCACTCGCGTAAATGCGCCGAAATTAAAATTCGCTAGAAAGAGCTACCAATGTGACCGCTCGGTAGGACTGCCACATTAGTCCAAATCGACCTTGAATAGATAGTCAAATCGGAGAAGATTGATCCACTTGAAATGGAATGACGCATGATGTCTTGATATTTCTATTTTCTGAAATTCAAAATATAGTTTCACGTGGCCTTTCCTCGATCGCGCCTGATCTATTGTTCGGTTGGTGTGAAAGTCATGCTTGTGTTCAAGCGCTTTTGGTGCATTTTCATTGATAATAGATGCTGCGATCATGTAGCTTTGATCATTGAAGTGAATGACTGGTACTTATGATGAAAGTTCCAGCCACGCAGAATGAGATGTGGTATTGATTAATTATAATTAACTGTCTTTACTATTAATTCCGGCTGGTAAATGGCTGGACACTGTGTACCACTTGTATGACACGTTCCTGTAGGTATGAAATAGGCTCCAATTAGTGATCGAATCTTCTTAACAATAACTAGAAGAGGAAATCTCATTTAGCTGTTGTTTCCTTATTGATTTTGTTAAAATTGTTTTGCGTGACAGTCGCCATCATCACTAGATTTGAATAGTGACATAAACTCACGATCAGATGTTCGTAGCGCAACGACCGCTTGTATTTTTTCCTCTGTTCGGGACCTAAAACCACTGCGACCAGTAATTTGATCTATTGTAGTATATCCGTGTCCTTAGTTTAGTGCATGTCGTATTACTCCATCACTATTGAGAAATGATGAAGTATTCGGTTTTGATACAGTTGTCATTCTTGCCTTCATCGCAAGGAATCGATTCTAATTGAAAGGGCCCGCTATTTATACCCTTCAGAGTGTTGGAATACCTTCCAAAGGCGCGCCCCTTTGTCAGTCAAAATTGGATTCCTTAGCAACAAAATTAAAGAATTAAATCAATAGTGACAATTAGACTGATGCAAAATTTGAAATTTTCGCTCCACAGTGTTCAAACGGTTCAAAATTGGGCCCTGATTAGCCTCCCAAAATTTGAATTCATTTAGTCAGAAACTGACTTGGCACAAACCATTTGAAGTTTATATGGGAATTACTATGGAGAAACTATAATTTTGGTTCATATCTATCTCAAAATTCACCAGTTAACTCTACTTTAGAAAATGATAGCTGCGCTTGTTGAAAATTTTCTCAGCTACAACTTTGTTCAAGATCACTTTTCGATCAAATGTAAGGAACAAAAAATATTAATGATTCAAGATGTCTTATGATTATGCTCAATCAACGGTTCAGCAGGCAACATTGGTGTTTATGGCGCGTAGAATAGAGTACAAAAATCATGGCTACTATGTCACACTGCAGAATACAGTGTTGCCCGCAATACAGTTGCTTAATCTTGCCATAAGATTATCATTCTGTTAAACAATTAATAACTATTTAATTTAGCGTTTGGCTGAAACATGATTTTCTGCAAAGTTGTAGCTGATAAAAATTCTCATAACAATAGCAATAGAAATTGTTAATAGTACAATATGTAAAAAGGCTAGAAGACAATGAAAAAAAAAAAAAAAACGTTTTGTTTTACCATAGTAATTTCCATATAAACTTCAAATGCAATTCGTTCGAGCATGCATTGGTAATAGAAATTTTGATTGGCAAGTGCTCACTACCGTAGGGATCTTGAATTACTTTCCACGAGCAATCCAACGATAGTGAACTCGAACTGAGGGAGAGGTCTAATCTACTTTCTCTTGCTGGAGATTTGGCCACTCGTGTTACTTCCCCTTGTATTTAGAATTGTCATATTGAAGTTATCGCAAAGGTCGTATATCAGGGTTGAGCGGTTGTCATCGTACAGTTCCCCCCAGCCTGTACCGTGGGAGTTAAAATCTCCTATGATCAACCGAGGCTCAGATAAAGCTGAGCAGATATCTGAGAGACCTTGGCGAGAAATCGCAGTTCTTGGAGAAAGATATACTGAGGCAATACTGAGACTTTTACCTCAAATATTTACCTGACATGCGACAACTTCAATGCCTGTCACGAAAGGCAGATCGATTCTATGGAAGGAATGGAACTTATTAATCCCAAGAAGCACCCCTCCATACGAATCTGCTCGATCAAGACGAATAATGTTAAAATCGTGGAAAGGGAGATCGGTGTCTGAAGAAAGCCATGTTTCACAAAGAGCAAATGCATCACAAAGTGAGTTGTGAAGTAAAAATTGGAATGTGTCAAGTTTCGGTATAAGACTTCTACAGTTCCAATGAAGAACAGAGATCATATCCCTGACCTCATTCGGAAAATTATCCATCAAAGGATATGATCGACGCAAGGAAGGACCACCTAGAAGCTAGTTGCTTCAAAAGAGTTTTCACAAATGGAAGCACTAAATTAATAATGTTCCTAGTTGAGTCAGAGACGTTGAATATATTGAAGATGTTCTCCACAATTCGAGAAAACGTGATCATGGCATCATGCTCTTGCTGATTATTCAGCTATTTTTCTGGCTGAAAAACTGGGATATCTGGGGTTTTAAATGATCCCGGAAGTGGCGGAAAGTCTTTGTTAAAATTACTAACTTTAAATCCCGGTGGTGGGGGTTTTGCTACATTTCCGCTACCTCTTAAATTTGTCAAGGTAGGTTGAGAGTCCGTACGAGAGGCCTTACGAGGTTTTTGGGTGACGTTTGTTTTGGACCACTTCCTCGTGTTGCCGTTAAAGACAAAAGGACTACTCTCTAAGTACTACTAAATTATCGGACAAAATGGGCCGCAGTCAGTAATGAGCAAAAGGCGGACGCAGATCTTTTGCCTGTAGACTTGAAGACATACTTAAAGTTTCCGCGTACCAACCTGGTCTATACAAGATGTGGATATCTAGTCCTGACGTTTGTGTTGGAAGAGGGAAAAATGTAAACTTTGCGGGAAACGAAACGATGATGACGATGTCATAAGACTCGAAAGCTAATTTTCGAAATAAGAAGTAAAACAATTGTATTCGTTTGTGACGTCGCCGGGAAATATCAGCTGGTGGTTTGTATTTTTATGATAACTCCTTACTTGAAAAGAGCAAAAACTCTCAAACAGGCTGCTTTTTCATGGTATACAGTATGGTAATTCAATAATCAATAAATTTAGTGGCAAACCATTCATAAATTTTGGTAACATACATAAATTCTATAATCCATATTAAATTTCTTCTGCAAGCGCCGATCGAAACAAACGTTATAACGTCACAACAAGTGTGATTGAGTAAACGAAAGAAACGAATAGTGCGAAACAAAATAAAAGCCGAGGGAAAAACGAAGTTCACCAATACATTTAGGCCTACAATTCGAGACCTTGTATAGACCAGGATGTCCGCGTACATCGTACGGGTTAGGCAAAAGGTGTGCGTTTGACATTATACTGTCGCATTAATGGCCCTTCGCTCATTTTCAACTTCTATTCAATTTTCATACTGCCGTACTCTAACAGAACTATCCACCTACTCTCTGCTAAAGATCATTCTCTAGCTAATAAATTCTCACACTAAACCTTCATGTTAGTATTTCCAACCGTCTCTTACTGTTTTTTGGATATGACCGAAAAACTAACGACCATTCATAGGAAAGTTATGAAAATGAAAACGGTCATTTTATGTTTGTTTGTTTTATGATTTTCTTAGAATGGCATGCCATTAATTATTGGGTAAATACTCAAACACGTTAAGAGATTATCTGAAATTTTCACCAGAACGATTGCATCACTTATCAAGGCGAACCCAAGCTACTAACAAAATATTCCTCCTGTGATATTTGTGGGAATGCACGATCCCCAAAATAACGAAGGTCGCTCTACTATTCCTTCCCTACTTCCACCTGATTGCAAGGACGTGGCCGACGCCGATATTGATCTTTAATATTTGGAGTCACTGAAACTTATACAATAAGAATGAAAGGGCACTCCTAACCCCATTTAGTTGAATTATTGTGCAATTTCACTTGTTCTGACCAATTAAGGAATAGCAACCATTTGATATTCTCATGAAGGAATCATCTCCCAGTGTGATAAATGAGTTGTGAGCACTTCAAGTTGAATTGTACAGTAGCCTTTATCTGTAAAATAACTGCTCATGTTGTAAAGATGGAGTCAAACTCCAAGACAGAAAAATTACTTTTGAGCATTGGCATTTTGATTCTTCAATTTTATTAATAATTATGTTTGTTTTTGGCCAGGTTTTTGTTTTGAATTATTGTTTGAATTCGTAATTCAGTTACAATTCTCTTTAATCAAGTTTATTAATGTGAATACGAGACATAAATAGTTAATTTCTCATTCGTTCTGCTTCAACTCTAATTTCAGAGAGTTGAAGAATTGCACTGTTTTTTACGGATCTCTTTATTTAACATAGGTTCCAAATAATTAATGTATATTTTTTGCCCTGGGACCGAGTTTATGCTATAAGTGCCATAAGTGAACCTTTTGTCATAAGTGTCATAAATCAGTTATAAAACTCGCAAAATGCAATTCATTCGACCGTAGTTCACATCGTGCCACACAGTTTTCGGTTCCGGAACCCTCAATTTAACAAGGGTGCGTAATTTAAGATGATTTGCGAAATTTTTCCTATAATTCACAACACAAATAATCCCACTATCCATCGGACCATGGATCGTTTCGCCTTTGCTACCACACCGAATGCTATCGATTTTGCCTTACAACTGTCTTTTGAGAACGTCATTTTTGGTGCTAATTCTTATTTCATCTAAATGTGTTTGTGTGTGTTTTTTATCTTTCAGCATGGAAGGATCGGATATCTGCTTCGAAGTGGTCAGACGTGCCGTGGCCGGATTCGTGTACAGCGAAGCAGTAGCGTGGTAAGTGTGACGTAGGTAGATGTGGGTGGGCTTTTCCTTCACTTTTATTCTCGTGGCTATAGAGAGGCTAGGAATCCCGGGTGGTGTAGTGTTGAATAAACGATAGTCATTCGGATTAATGCCAGGGATGAGGAAGGAAAAAAACAGGCAGCTAGTCGACAGTCCATTGGCCGAGTGTTCAGATAGAATGTGTATGGTTTGACTTATCGATTCCCGATAGCTACATCATAAATCTGATTGGGCGAAATATGATCTAGCTAACAAACATCCAGGGCACCCGCGAGTTAAGCCCTTGCTTAATCAGATGATGGGAAAAATACGGGTTGGGCTTTGCTAGCGATTTGCGAAGCTGGACGCAACCAACCAATCAACCGAGGCAGGATAGCATCCCGAGCAAAGGCCAACATCAAAATGATAGTAAATAGATATCGAAAGTTTGATTTTAGTTTACGATTGACAAATAGGACAGAACATCAAATTTAATACTCGTTTTGTTATCAACAGTAAAAACGTACATCAAATTAAGTTTTCAGTTTGCTCTTACTGATAGCAGAATTAGTTTTCAATTTGATGTTTGTTTTGCTTTCGATTTTAATATTTTAACCGTTAAAACGACCAAAACGACAAAAACCAGAGTAATCATTCTTAGCTACATCAAAACATCAAATTTTGTTTTCAATTTGAGCTCACACTTTGCTCGGGATGTTTGCATCGGGGAATCTCGAATCTTTTAGGCTTGCGAGAGAAAGACCGTATACATTACATTAGGGTAATTGAATTAGCCAATAATGGAGCAATCGGGTGCAGAATTCCGTGATGGGTCGCTATTTACTGATGGACTGACTTCCATCAGACTTGGCAAAGTTTTGCTAAATTACGTCAGGGTAGTTGATTTCTGCACTCGACTACACAACTCGATGTTGGGAATTGAACCAACTTTCTATAACCGGTATAATTCAAATAATCTCTTTCGTCCACAGCCATTACATGCGCCAGATTCTGGAGGCTCTGCGCTACTGCCACGAGAACGATATCATTCATCGGGATATGCGACCGGCATGTGCCCTCCTGGCGACCGCCGACAACTCCGCTCCCGTCAAACTGGGTGGTTTCGGATCCGCCGTACAGCTGCCCAATGGACGTGATTCGGTGGAAACGCATGGTAAGTTGTTCCTCATTGGTGTTGTTGTCGTTGCATTTCTTATCACAACCCTCATCGGTCTCTTGTTCGCCGCAGCAAACGTTGGTCTCCGTTGTTTCGTTTCCACCCGAGCGCGACCGGCATGTGCCATTCGCTTGATTGTTTTCAGCCGTAGGTTTTCTGAATCTATGGCCTTCCCTACGGGGCAACCCTGACCTGTAGCAGTTTCAATGCTACATTTTCGCGCCCGGTAATTAATTTGAGAATAACCTTTGCATTCGACCGCAGCAGCCGCTGTTGTGAATAGCACCCGAAAAAAGTGGTCTCCTCCATTCGCAAGTATACCAACTGGGTGGTGTTTGCAGGCGCGTACGTGTTCATTAACACATTGAATTCAGTCCGGTTGTTTGCGTAAATGAGTGTGTGTGTGTGTGTGTAGGGGGAGGTTTATATGTGCATATAGCAAGTGTGCGCTTATGCACACAAAAAACGTTCCGCTCATCTAGGAAGGACAGTGAGGCGGTGTAGGGAAGGGGTTGGCCACTTCTTGTGCTGAACTTTTCCGTTCGCCGTCGGTCATGGAGAGGTTTATGAGTGGGGATGTGGTTCTGACAATATGGTGTTTGAGTTGGAGAAAGTGCTGAAATTTGTTTGATGAAAGCTTAGCATGTTTTATGAAGCAGTAGTTGATTGTTGATAGAAAAACAGAGCTATTGCCTTAGCTGGTGGTTGGTATTGATCTAAAAAGCATAAATATAAATGTATGCTTTTGGTAGGGTAGAGCGCCTCTTCAACGTAATCGTCCATTTCCGTTCTATCAATAATATCAATGATTTCATCGTGCACAAATCAATAGTGCATTTGATCTGATACGCTAGATCATAAGCTACAAGACAAAGCCTATTAGAGCGCATTGTATGAATATTTACACTCATTGTTCCTATAAACAAAAGTAGCGCTGCTAACGATTTTGATTTCATAGGATGAAGAAAATCCAATGGCAATTAAATGCATTAGGACGGAATTGAAACTCGTAGGGCGCATCTTGAATCAAGAAGCAGTGATAGATTTTTAATCGATTATCTTGTAGTAAAGGTTTTCCTTGCTTATGGTTAAAATGGACATATCACATGGTGGTTGGTACGATTTCAATTTATGTCGAGCTGGTAGACAAGCCGTTTTAGCAAGTTGAAACTGACTGATTTGTCCTTGCATACTTTTCGCAGAATGCTAATAAAAATAGCTAATAGAATACAACATAGTCGAATTTTCAATTGCACTACTGACTTCTGGAAAATGTTGTTTGAAAATAACAATCTGGATTTTACGGTGCAATGACAAAACCAGGTAGCGTGACCAACATGTTAATGTTAATGAAATTTGTCCCTTTTCCGTTTAAGACGCAAAAGATCCAAATTGTACCAGATGTTCGAGTTGTTCTAAGAAACAAACTTTTGCTCAACTAGTTGATTTGTACACGTTTTCAAAGCGTTATTATGAACAGCTGTAGATTCATCTAAGTTACCGGCCGCGAATGGAAAATCCACGCTCCTCTCAACAAGATTCGAAACAGCGTGCTCCGAATTTTTCCTCCAGTACTTCAATTTTACAAAATTATCGTTATCGTTAACATGGTCTAAGACATTAATCACCAAGGTCTCCTGATCGGTTATTTTTAAATCAGTATCCGTAACTGAACAAATGGAATCAAAATTGGAATAAACGTGGTTAATTAAAGTTCTTTTGTGCCTGGAAATACGCGTATATTCATTTACCGTTTGCTGTAAATAAAATAAAACTCAGCTAAACGCTTCAAATGATTCGAATTATGGTTATGACGCCAATTAATATTAAAGTCACCAGCTAATATATTTAATTTACTAGAATCAAGGAATGTCTTGAGCCAGTTCTCTAAAACTTCAACAAAACGCTGATCACTAGAACTAAGAGAATGATACAAAACACTATAATTACCCATTTTCATGCCACGTACAACTGTAATGCCCAAGAACCAGTTGCCATCATATTCGTTAGTACGAAGGTTGAATTAAACTGATTCTTTGACAGTGTGTCTAAAATGCGATAAACAAGCAGCAACAATATTTCCCGGAATACTATACTATCAAAAGCTTTGGTTTCTACAATATGAGTTTCAGATAACAAAACTAAAAGAGGACGTTTTTCTTCCACATTAGCATTACTAGTATTAGTTAGTTATTACTAGTAGTTTGTTGACAACCCCGCAATATTCAAATACAAAAAAATCGAATTGATTCACATTCCTGGAACTTGGCTGCTATTGATTGAAACGCAAGCTGCTTTTAGTCTGATCAAAAAGTCTTTTATAAACTAAATAGTCTGAACTAAATGCGGCATGGTTGACGTCCAAGTTCATTTTACTTTCCTTATTAATTTTCAAACAATTAAAACATTTCAATACAGTTGACGTACACTCCGACGTTTTGTGTTGTTAGCTGCACCTAGAGCATCTATCACCATTTTTGCAATCCATGCTCTTGTGCCCAAATTCCCCACATTTGAAGCATCTCAACACATCAATCGCGGGAACTATCAGGTACCGATCAAACCCTACATTTACTTTTTTCGCTCATAACAGACATTTATTCGTATCGACATCGACTTCAATTACAACACTAAACTTGTTATTTTTAAAACTTCCGCGAATCTCACATTTTCTTGAAAAACATCATCATTATTATCATTATTAATAATTACTTATTTACGTTTGCGTTCGGTTTTTTGGTCCGATTCCGACTGAATCGTCCTAGATACATTGCGCTGGTCGTTCGTTACAGCTAATTGTTTTTCTGCAGTAATTTAAAAAAAAATGGGTTTTTCATATTGTCCAATGTTTCACATATTGATTTTTCAATACCATTTACATTTCGGCTAATGTCTGCCATCCCGCTTTTTAACACTCCGAATACGATGCCTCCGACAAACGTGTAACGGCAAGTTTGCAATGACATAACCAGGCTTGGGAATTGTCAACCTCATGATGATAAACTATGTAACAACGACAACAACAAAAAGTCAACGCTTATCTGACAAGCACGATGCAACAAAATTCTGCTTGGGCTGTCTCTCGACGAAACATTTTCTATTCTTGTCTTTCTCTCATTTGGTCACGAAACATCTGTTGCGTGACGTTTTCCAGAATGACTTAGTTGTTTCACGTACGTCGGACGACAAGATTGACGGAAACTGTCGACATGGTTATTGACGAAAAAAGTCTGTCATGTCATTCTTCCATTCTGTCGCGACAAAACTTCCGTTGGTCGTTTTCTAATAAATGGATGTCGCTTTGGATGCGAGACATAACAAGATAGAAATAACTGGAATTGTGTTGTTTTGATGTGATTTCACCTCTGACTCGAAGTAGGTAGCTTGAATCTTGGCGCTGAGTTTCGTGTTTGCAGTGATGGGTATTTTTGGAACGGACAGAACTGAAAGCTGCCGAAAATCGATGTTTGGAATCCAAGATGGCGGCGTCCGGTTTAAAAAAAAAGTGGGAAATACTGCCAAATACCCTTCAATATGTATATTTTTGGAATCTGAATGACGTCAAGAGACCGAAAATCGATGTCCAGCGCCATCTGGAAATCAAAGATGGCGGCTGCCGATTTCAGAAAAAAAGTGGGAAATACTACCAAATACCATTCAATATGTATATTTTTGGAATCGGGATGACCTCTAGAGACCAAATATCGATATGCAGCGCCATCTTGAAATCCAAGATGGCGGCTTCCAATTTCAGAAAAAGTGGGAAATACTGCCAAATACCCATCAATATGTATATTTTTGGAATCGGGATGACCTCTAGAGACCAAATATCGATATCCAGCGCCATCTTGAAATCCAAGATGGCGGCTTCCGATTTCAGAAAAAGTGGGAAATACTGCCAAATACCCTTCAATATGTATATTTTTGGAATCGGTATGGCCTCTCGAGACCAAATATCGATATCCATCTTGAAATCCAAGACGGCGGCTTTTAATTTCAGAAAAAAGCGGGAAATACTGCCAAATACCCATCAATATGTATATTTTTGGAATCGGAATGACGTTTCGAGACCAAAAATCGATATCCAGCGCCGTCTTGAAATCCAAGATGGCGGCTTCCAATATCAGAAAAAGTGGGAAATACTGCCAAATACACTTCAATATGTATATTTTTGGAATCGGGATGACGTCTCGAGACCAAAAATCGATATCCAGCGCCACCTTGAAATCCAATATGGCGGCTTCCGATTTCAGAAAAAGTGGGAAATACTGCCAAATACCCTTCAATATGTATATTTTTGGAATCGGTATGACCTCTAGAGACCAAATATCGATATCCAGCGCCATCTTGAAATCCAAGATGGCGGCTTCCAATTTCAGAAAAAGTGGGAAATACTGCCAAATACCCTTCAATATGTATATTTTTGGAATCGGTATGACCTCAAGAGACCAAATATTGATATCCAGCGCCATCTTGAAATCCAAGATGGTGGCTTTTAATTTCAGAAAAAGTGGGAAATACTGCCAAATACCCATCAATATGTATATTTTTGGAATCGGGATGACCTCTAGAGACCGAAAATCGATATCAAGCGACATCTTGAAATCCAAGATGGTGGCTTCCAATTTCAGAAAAAGTGGGAAATACTGCCAAATACACTTCAATATGTATATTTTCGGAATCGGGATGACCTCTAGAGACCAAATGTCGATATCCAGCGCCATCTTGAAATCCAAGATGGCGGCTTCCAATATCAGAAAAAGGGCCATTAATGCGACAGTTTTTCAAGATAGACGCACATTTTTGCCTAATCCGTACGATGTACGCCTGTGGACTTGGAGACATACTTCAAGTTCCCGCGTACATCGTGCGGGTTAGGCAAAAATGTGCGTCTATCTTGAAAAACTGTCGCATTAATGGCCCTTCGCTCATTTTCAACTTCTATTCAATTTTCATACTGCCGTACTCTAACGGAACTATCCACCTACCCTCTTCTA